CTGGCCAGGGATTTGAAGAGTTGTGATTCGAACTGGCGTCCCTGGTCGGTGGTGATGGTCTGCAGGCAACCGAAGCGTGATATCCAGCCGGTCAGTAGGGCACATGCCACTGTGTCGGCTGTGATGTCCGGAATGGGGACGACTTCTGGCCAGCGGGCGAAACGGCCGACTACAGTGAGGCAGTTTTTGTAGCCCGCAGGCGTTGGAAGGGGTCCCACAAGGTCAATATGGACGTATAGAAAGCGGACTGCTGGCGGTGTAAAGTCGGCCAGTGGAGTGACTGTGTGGCGGGAGACTCTGGAGCCCTGGCAGGACTGGCAAGCACGTGCCCAGGTCCGGCAATCCTTCTAACACCTGGCCACACGAATCGCTGTGCTACCAGCTTTGCTGTTGCTCTGGTGCCTGGGTGTGACAGATCGTGGATGGACTGGAACACTTGGAGTCGTAGAGGCGCTGGAACGTACGGCCGAGATCTCCGGGTTGACGTGTCGCAGAAGATGCAGACTGCGGTACCGGGGACTGGTAGTTTCTCGAGCCGCAGGGCGCTGGTTGACCCCAGGAGTGCTCGGAGTTCGTCGTTGCTGCCCTGTGATGTGGCGAATACGTCATAAGGTGGTGGCGTAGTGACAGATTCGATGCGAGAGAGGACGTCGGCGACAACGTTGTCCTGTGTTACGCCGTGGTGCAAGGGGGCGAGGAGGTATCCCTCCTTGCCACCACAGCTTACGCTGTAAGGAGTTAACACTCAAATCTTACACAATACTCCTAGCTTACCCTCAGCTAGGATTCTCCTGTTTCTGGGTTTCCTTCCCTCATAAAGCTGCCACCAACTATTTTATGTCCTAAGAGAGGTGATGAAAGTACCAAGGGCCGGTAGCGCGGTAGCCGAGCGTTCTGTGTTGGCTGGCCCTTTCATCACTGTCACCTCTTATTATTGGCGTAGAGTGGGCGTGTCAGGTCTGACCCGCCTCTACCTATCGACTGTCACACTATATATTATCCTCTACGACAGGGGTGGATAGGATATCTCACCGCTGTCGCCAATTAAGTCTTAGTGACGGGGGTGGGTGGAGGTCGCCGCCACTGTTACCACTTATTACGTCTTAAGGGGGCGTTGATATAAAGGCTACTAAGCGCTGCCTGCGTGGCAGATGCCTACCCTTGTCAATTAGTGCCTCCCCTTATCTGTCATTGCATTCGGCTGCTGCTGCTGCCTTTCATTTTGGTAGGATCCTTGGGATCGGTCGTGGAAAGGTTGATTATGGAGGGGTGAATCACAATCCCGGTGCATCCTACTCTAACTACCCTGTCTATTTACACTCTTATTTACAATATTTAGAATATTTACAAGACCGACCTATGGTCTGGACTACATAGTGTCTTTGCTTCATGCTACACTTCCTCACGTTCTCCCCTTCGGGTGTGTAGGCCTTGAGCCTCTCTCTCTCTCTCTCTGTTTTGACTAATGAGGCTATGCAATTATTCATCGTTTAACATGAACCCTTTTCCTGGTTCCATTTCCTACTACTCATTACATACTACTACACCATCCTGTCGTAAAGTTTCACCCTTAAAATATTTTACCCCTAGTTATACATATTGAAAGCCCACATACTATATTTATCACAAAAATCATTAGTCGTACTATAACGCAAATGTGCGTAGTCTACACACTACCAGTAATCTTAACACACACCATAACGACAGCCATATTGCCGGACTATCTTCCTAAGCAATTACTTGTTACATAATTATTCTCCCCTAAGGGCTCGCCGGGCACACTGGCGTTTGCTTTCAATATTTTCCACAACACTTTTATTAACAATAATATTTAAAAACATGGCTTATATGAGTAAACGTGACTTACTTGGAATAAGAGACGCAGGTCACTTCCACCACTCGTAAGGCCCATATTGAATAGAGCCTCCGGCTGACAACTAAATATTATGTTGGAGATCCGATCCCTAAATCTCCTGAATTCAGTAATTTATGTCATTAACTTGCTGAATCGGCGGTTGCCGAAAGAGGGAGGTTAACTTCTCTTTTTGTCCTCAATCTCCGGTGGAAGGTTTCCATTGGTTACCTTTTGGCTGTGGGTGGGCCCGTGGTCTTTGCTGCTTATTTAATAATATTATCTTTACTCTGTTATGAGCCCGACGCTCCGGCCGAAACTACGTTGGGAAAGCCTCGGGGATCTGGAAACACTGCCTTGGGAGACGCCTGGCAGCCCTGTATCCGCGGCCCACCCCCTACCGCCTGCGGAGGGGGGGCTAGCAGGATGGAACGGGTAGCGGTAGCCAGAGGAGGCAGTGGGTAACAAGACCTTGGAGAGAGAGGTAGTGGAGGCTCCTAGGGGAGCGACGACGTGACGGAGTACAAGGAACCGCAGGAGCAGTCGGCCGGCCCCGAAGGGCCCTACCTTGGAGGAAAGAAAGGGGGGGTTTCGAACTTGGGCCCAAAGGGCGGTAAGTAACGGAATACGGGCTTACCGAGCTGTTTGACCCCACTCAGGTAGGGGGAGGCCCCTACCTTGCCAAATTAACTTCCACCAAGTCAAAAAAAGGATACAGCGGAACGGAGTTTGGGCCCCTCCGGAGTGGACAGGGGTAGTGAGGACCTTCCACTAGCTCCACTGTATTTTATTTATATTATACCAGCAATAAACGCAACTGTATTATGTGTAAACTGAGACGGGCAGTAATGGCCTACCCGGCCCATTATGATCCCCCACCCCCATAGCAACCAATTCGTAACAACTCCAGTGTCCCTGCAACGCGACTTGCAGAAGTCCTATTGCGCATCCTGCTAACTCAGGCATTCTTAACCTAGATTGCCTGTCCAGGTGTTGACATACTAATGTAATTGCTGTAAAACGTTTGTCGCAAGTCTTGGAACATTTAAGCAATGCCTTATTAGACTTCTAGTCTCAAAATTGCTCCACAACATCCTGTCCAGAGATGTGTCGGATGTCGGTTGTGAACTGGGAGACGAAGTCTAGATGGTTGAACTGCCGGGGTGAGCATTCATCCCGCTTCTGCTGGAAGTCGTGATTGGCTTGTGGTCGGTGAAGATGGTGAAGTGACGCGCTTCCAGCATATGGCGGAAATGCCTTACTGCCTCGTAGATAGCCAGTAGCTCACGGTCATAGGCGCTGTACTTCTGTTGGGCCTGGTTGATCTTCTTTGAGAAGGCGAGGGGCTGCCAGGTGTTCCTTGCGCGTTGTTGTAGCACGGCACCCATGGCGGACGTGGAGACATCTGTGACGAGTGCAAGTGGCGCGGATGGATCCGGGTGAGCCAGTAGAGTGGCGCGTGACACACTCGCCTTGCACTCTTCGAATGCTTTGTGGAGCTGTGATGTCCAAGTAATGGGGTGGGAGCCCTTGACTTTGGGTCCGGAGAGGACGTCGTGCATTGGTGTCTGTGTGGTCGCTGTGTGGGGCAGAAATCGGCTGTAGAAGTTTAGCATGCCTAGGAATCGTCGAAGCTGACTGGCGGTCTTCGGGGGGGGGCAGTCCTGGAGATGGGCCACTCGGTCTTCCAGAGGTTCGGAACCTTCGGCAGACACCGTGTAGCCGAAAAAGGTGACCTCGGGTGCTCTGAAGATGCACTTTGACAGGTTGGTAATGATCCCGTACCTCTGGAGTTGGTTGAAGAGAGCATGTAAGTGTTGTTCGCGCTCTTCGAGGAACCGGGAGAAGACAAGGATGACGTCTAAGTATGTAAAGCAGAAGTCGAGTCCCTGTAGGATGTTGTCCATGAAGCGCTGGAAGGTCTGGGCGGCGTTGCGCAGGCCGAAGGACATGAATGGGAATTCGAAGAGGCCGAATTGAGTGGTGATGGCGGTCTTCTGTATGTCTTCATGGTGGTCAGGGATTTGGCTGTAGGCTCTCACCAGTTCAATTTTGGAAAAGACGGAAGGGGAAGGTGATCCGCTGCCTAGCCGGCGGCTGTTGAAGGCGGGGTGGGAATCTTTGGGACTGGAGCCTCTGTCTCTCGGTTTGGTGTCGAGTTCCTTGAAGCGGGCGTGGAGGCGGTCCTGTCCGGTGCTGAGTGCAGCCACTTGGCGGAAGAGGTCAGCGATCTCCTGCCGAAGTGAGTCGTTGTCCGTGGGTTGACCAACGCTAGCGAGTGCCGGCTGGACTTCGACCTCGGAGATGCGGTCTGCACAGAGGGATCTGGCCTCCAAGTTGCTCTCGTTCTGGCTGGCGAGGAAGCTCTGTACACCGCAGGGCAGCCGGCTGGTCCAGATGACGTTATCAGACACGTCTGGTGCGAGACTCTTGAGGTATCTCAGGAACTGGGATGGCTTACGGTCGCCAATTTCCTCGACCTTGAGGAGCTGCCGGATGCGTTGTTCTGGCTCTCTCACAAGCTCGGTCCTCAGTAGGGTGTAGGGGTCTCGTTCGGGTGGAGAGGTGATATCCTCCACCTGTGTGGCGTACCGGTGGTCCAGCTGACTATTGCGAAATCAAAGTCAAAGTCACATTGAGACTGATGGCCAGTCAGTCAGTCAGTCAGTAAGTCTTGGTGTCGAGCCCCATTTTGGGCTAATGACCAGATATTAATTATTATCGTTTGACAGTTACAGTGTTGTTTCTCTGGGGTGCCTTCTATGTTGAGAGGAAGGGTCTGTCTTTTGTATATGCTGCTGGTCCTTGCCAGCGCAGTCTTACTCGGGTCCGGGTCCCTTGGGACTCAAGACCACATTTTACTGTCTCAGAACTGAGACTGAGTCGCCTACGACTCGCAGGGTCACAGTGGAGGGATTCGACCCCGCCTCCACACGGGAATGACTATTGTGAGTTTTGGGCTCTGCCTTTTATACCATGCTTGATGGGCGGAGCGAAAGTTGCAGTTGCGATTGTGAGCGCTAATTGGCTAGTGATGATGCGAAGGTGGGCTGGACAGCGAGTGCTGTATAAATATGAGTGGTGGCCGCAATGTGACGTTGACTTGGCTTGAGCATAAGTTGAATGCTGTCTGTTAGACAGACGAAGCTGCGTGTTAGTATGTGGGGGTTCCCACAACATTAAGCCCATAGGCTTAAAAGTATCACACTTAAATTTCATTCATTTTCATTAATTTTAGAGCCGCTTTACACAAGGGACTAGTGTAACAGAATTGTATACATACAATTATATTTTTAATAATTTTACAAGTTTTAGTAATATTTCTTATTATTGTACAAGTATTACCATCTTTATCTGAAGGAGTACTTTGCATACAAAACCAACAGTACTTTAACCTTTGACATCTGAAGTGCACATATCGGTACATTGAAAGGTACAGCCGTCATGGCTGAAGTATACATATGCGCGCATCCGAGCATTTAAATGCTGCTAGTAAAAGTGCGCACACAGTGCTAGTAGATATGCATGCACAATTTTAAATAATTATTTTTAAGTATAGTTAAATTCATTGTACATATCGTTTTTGTTATCTTCTTGGTGTATTTATAGGCTTCACCCCCCCACCCAATCATCTAACTGAATCACTCCTTTGTATGGTATTCATGGTATACCTTGAAAGATGCAAGAATACACAGTCCCATGTCACATATCTTGCACTTAAGCTGCTTTTCAATTTTATCATCTTCCAAACGATGTTCCATTACCATTGCATGATGAAATGAAAATATATTCAAATTGACTATGAACTCACAGAAAACTGAATGCACTCTGTATCTCAGCTATGATGCAAGCATTTGGTTGTGACTATAGTAAGGACAATATTTTCTTGTTGTTGCAATAGAAGGCCTTGGGGACTGATGTACAAAACAAAGAATTTACTCTCCTGTCTCTCTTGCATTTCCATACTTTCACTTTTCTATCCCTCTAGTCAACATAGATGAATAACTGAAGAGAGTGGCAAAAATGTAAATCTTCTAAACAGAATAATATAACAAGGTTTTCAGTAGCTCCAGATGTATTACAACACCAGGGACAATAGAAGTATGGCAAGTGTTACAATAAGGGATGATATTATAATGCAGAACCACTTTGTGAAGAAGTGGAAAACTCTTTTGCTCAAGAGGCAATAAAGTATAACTTTTTTGCTTAAACATTTTCAAATCTTATGTTTCAATATATGACATTATGTTATTTTCTGATAGAAACAAGGTTAATCCCCTTCCTTTATCATAATAATTGTATTAGATACACAATTTTAATAAAATGCTTAAAATTATTTAAAACAGCAAAGGACATCTAAATGTTCAACAGCAATGGGGATTTAAATAAACTACCTACCACCATATAAAATGTCCAGAATTTGAAGGTTAATGAAAGAATTTGTTATAAAGCTACAGAATAGAAGACCAATATTTTCTTTCATAATATTTCCTTCTATCTTGTTTCACAGTTGGTTGGCTTTGTAGTCACCATCCAGTAATCAAACTTCTCATTGTGATTAAATTTCTTCTTTCACACCTTTAAGGAGGATGAAAGGTCGGTTTATTCTTTTCTTCTTTTCAACTGTTGGGAAAAGTACCTCAACTTATGTTATTACTACACACCTTTGTATTTTTCCTGTTCACTGAATATTCTCTCATCCAACATTGCATAGTCTGAGCTACAAATGCCACCATTATATAATATAAAGATAAATTAATAAAACGATTTCTGTTAACATTTATAATTTTGGACACATATTTTTGCAGCATGTAAATATGCAGTATTAATTACAGAAATACTTAAGCAAATCTTTCCTAAGTGTAAGTCGTTTGACAACTTACCTTGGGCTATTAATGAGACTTCTGAAATTGTGCCCTTTCATTCGTCCCTCACTGACCCCAGCAGGACATGCATACATTTTGGATGTGACTATACAACATACCTGGATCTGTGACGAACATGTGTTGGTGGATTATTGCCAAAGCCCACCACATAGCTGCGACCTGAATCTCCCAGTATGTAATCAATCTGCTTTTTGAAAAACTGCCTATAGAAATCGCTGCTTGCTCCCAGATCTGCCAACTGGAACAAAACATTATTATTATTTTCTTTTACATATTTTACTATCTACCTACCTACCTACCTACCTACATACCGACCTATGACCTACCACTCGGCTCTACAGCCCTGGGTGAGCCTTGGCCTCCTCTACAACCAGTCCCCACAACCAATGCATGCTGCCATAGGAATGGACCCAAGCTTGATGACCCGATGCTGGTTGTTAGGTTTCTGAACAACATTCTATTTACAGGATGAGGTTGTTAGCCTCAATCCCAACACCCAACCTGGAGAACCAGGGTATCTCTTTTAGTCTGGACTCTACACTTTCACCTTTCTGGCATGGGTAGTTAGACTGGCACTGGCATAGCTCTCCAGGTTACAGAGTCATGTGAGCTCCACCAACACGACAAGGTGGAGACACCTTTAGGGGGACATATTGTCCTATGATGTCTATTGATCCATTTCATGTGCTTGAGACATTAGTGATATGTGCAGTCTTGAACAATGTGCCGATTATGTACAAGGTTTGATGAAGTTCTTTCATTCAGGAACTAATATGATGTCAAGCCATATACTTTATCTTCCATTTATACTGCAAATTTCACCAGCTAGATTTCAAATATTAATGAAAAAGTAAAAGGTATAGTCATTTTACCACTGTTAACACTCTCAGCATCATCTGCACTGTGGCAAACGTAGTCCTTCACAGTGTTCAACGGAACAGACATATTTTCCAGTTTTTATGTGGCCATTTATCAACTATAACATTTCAAATCACAATTTGAAGAATTCTCATTTTTATAACGTTATTTTGCTTCAGTAACAGATCCATTCATTTGAATATTATCCTCTGACATTTTGTGGTATAGAACCATCTTGTCTAAAAATAATACAAAGTTATAAATGCAACAATTTCTATAAATTTCTTCTTAGCGAATTAATATTGAATTAGAATTGAATGTATTGAATACACACTGAGACATGTCAAATAGAATAATATATGTTTATATTTACCCATGATGGAGAAGATCAGTTTGACCGATTATGTGAGAAATAAAGAAGTGTTAAGAACATGAGTTTCAGGATGGGGACATTGGTCCTTTATCATAGCCGTAAATAAATATTGTGAAATTAACAAAATGTACGGTGTCAACTTAAATTATGGCTCTTTATATATGTATTTATACAATGTCTTATCTTAAACACGTGAACATCTGAGTTTCTTGCTTATAAAATCATTCTACATATGACAGGAACCGAGTACAATGTGTGCTTTTAATTGAAAATGCAATCGTTTCATTCGCACTGCTGAATAATATCGTTTTGTTTTGCTCACCGATTTGTGTATATGGGACTGAGAATGCTAGTATTTTAAGAACATGAGTTTCAGGATGGGACATCGGTCCTTTATCATAGCCGTAAATAAATCTTGTGAAATTACCAAAATGTACGGGCCAAGTTAATACTATGACTATATATATATTTATACAATGTCTTATCTTAAAGACGTGAACATATGAGTTTCTTGCTTATAAAATCGTACTACATATGACAGGAACCGAGAACAATGTGTGTATTTAGTTGAAAATGCAATCGTTTCATTCACACCACTGAATAACATCATTTTATTTTGCTCACCGATTTGTGTATATGGGACTGAGAATGCTAGTATTTTAAGAACACGAGTTTCAGGATGGGGACATCGGTCCTTTATCATAGCCGTAAATAAATCTTGTGAAATTGCCAAAATGTACGATGTCAAGTTAAATTATATGACTAATTAGAGTCAGTGAGCAGAGGAATATCCTACATGAAATAAGAAAATGGAAGGCTAATTGTATTGGTCATGTTTTACGCAGAAACTGCCTTCTAAAAGAAGTTATCGAAGGAAAGATAGAGGGGCGGATAGAATTGACAAGAAGACGAGGAAGAAGACGTAAGAAGATGCTGGATGACCTTGGGGACAGAAGAGGATACTGTCATTTGAAGGAGAAAGCTCTAGATCGCATTAAATGGAGGAATTGTTTTGGAAGAGACTGTGGACCTGTCGTCTTGACAGATTATTTTTGATGATGATGATTTACCCATGTTACATAAATAACGCAATTTTACATTTGTTTGATAAACCAGTTCCAACATGCTGAATTTTTGTGCATTGTTCACAAAAATGGTGTCATATGGTGTAGAGTGATTTTCCAAACTACCAAATAATTCAGATACAGTGTGGTCGCATTTTATGCAAGGATACATTTCTAAAGACCTTGAATAATTTAAGACAAGTTTTGAAACACATACATGATTCTTGCCATTTTTTTTTGGGATTCCCTTTATTTGAAACTTTGTGCATAAAGTGAAACTTTATTAATATTTTCTATGTCACCCAATTTTAAGTTTGAATAATTCAAATTCACATGAAATGTGACAACACTGTATTTAAAGATGACATGATAAATTTATTTCCTTTACACTTTGTACTGCAGTAGAAAGCTGAATGATTCCATTCACACGGTACATTCAGTTTACACATTGGAGTTTTCCACTTTAGTAGTTCAGACACTCTTGACTCCATATCACCTAGTGTGGATAGGTCACTTAGTCTGTAGAACATCGCCTTAGATCAAGTACACATTATTAAATTGCCCGAAATACTCGGCTCACCTCTTATAAGTGAACACAGCCATTTAACCATTAGCCCCTCACAATATTGGCTGATCTATTGCAGCTTACCTCTTATAATTGAAAGCCAAAGTTCAGCTCATAGCCAACCACTATATCAATTGAGCTACCCCAGCTCATTTGAAGCAAAATTGTAGTGTTTAAAGTTATGTTACATACAACTTATAAATATTGTCTTGTACCATACAATAGTAAGGAAATACATTCAAATATAGATATCATACTACAGTGATTTATTTGTGGAACCTATTTAATTACCATAATTCAGATAGTTTCATTTTGTTCCCATAATTTAAATACTTATTTAAATTGCTGTTATTTGAGTATTTTCCTTTGTTTGCTGCCATTCAAATGGTTTTCCTCACTTAGTAGCATTAAAATATTTTAATTTATTGCCATCATTCAACTTCTGTTATTTAAGTATTTTCTTTTGGTTGCTGCTACTGAATAGGAACACACTGCTATCAAGTAGTTATTTTGCAAGCTGTAGCCTGTGTCTTTCCTGTCTCAGTATGATTGCACAACCTGCAGCCTACTAAAGAGGAAATATATTTCAAAATTATATACACTAAACATGGACATCTACTGGAGTGATTTATGGCGTGAAAACTATGTATGGGAAAACAAGGGCAAGAAATTACAGTGAATCGATTTCAGTACACAACAGGGAAATGCAGGCCAATTGTAACTAAATGAGAAGTATTGAATACTACCAAAGAAGATAATATATATATATATATATACAACCTCCTTATTTGACCATCACAAAACAGCAAATATAGAACTTCAAGGACAATGCTCAGTTGTAGTTCTGCTACATGTTTCAACCACGAGTGGTCATCATCAGGGAAATACACTTCAACAATCATACACCATTGAACTGCAGTACATAAAATTTGATACAATGTTATAATTCATTTAAGATAATATGCACAAGAATACAATAAGTAGGTTATTTAAAACAATAAAAAGTCATGTATAAAAAAATTAAAATTTGATTGATGTTTAATAACATCGAATCGGTCGTTGGTTTTACTTTTCACACATTTCTGTCGACGAATAGTAAATTCAAGTTTCTTATAAAATTGTGTAGGAGGTCCAATAATGTTGAGAATTAATTAATGGAATAGTTTGAGCCTCATCATACAGAGAATTGTACGTATTGTATGGAAAGTAATCAATCGTTGTAATCGTTGATTACTTTCCATACAATACATACAATTCTCCGTATGATGAGGCTCCAACTGTTCCATTGATTAATTCTCAACATTATTGGACCTCCTACACAATTTTATAAGAAACTTGAATTTACTATTCGTCGACAGAAATGTGTGAAAAGTAAAACCAACAACCGATTCGTTGTTATTAAACATCAATCAAAATTTAATTTTTTTATACATTACTTTTTATTGTTTTAAATAACCTACTTATTGTATTCTTGTGCATATTATCTTAAATAATTTATAACGTTGTACCAAATTTTACGTACCACAGTTCAGTGGTGTACGATTGTTGAAGTGTGTTTGCCTGATGATGGCCAATCGTGGCTGAAACATGTAGCAGAACTATAACTGATCATTGTCCTTGAAGTTCTATATTTGCTGTGTTGTGACGGTCAAATAAAGAGGTTGTATATATTGTAACATGGCAGGATGCACGAAATGGAAAAAGATAATAAATATATAACTTACAATTATTTTCATTGTAAGAAATGATTTGTGTGGCTATATAGGATTCACTTCTTCAGCTTTGCTGGTTATCAAAACATGCTGCAGTAATTGTATCTGTAGGAGTAAAGCTTGTGGGATGGTATACAGAATTAATTTACATACACACACAAGGGGGAATTTCTTGGCAATCTAACTTCGTGTGCAGGAGTTCATTTTATAAAAAATTCTCGAAACATTTGTTCTATGGGTAACAGCATGTGAAGGACTATGTTCTGCTATACAGTTATTAAATTTAAACTTTTTCCTTCTATCCTTGTTTAGATTCTTCTTTTTGAGGATAATGGTGTCACTATATCCCAGTCACAGGTTTACTATTCATAGACTCATGTAATTGAATGTTCCTAATGACAATCAATCAATCAATCAATCAATCAATCAATCAATGAATCAATCAATCAAACAAACAATCAATCAATGAATCAATCAATCAATCAATCAATCAATGAATCAATCAATCAATCAATCAAACAAACAATCGATCAATGAATCAATCAATGAATCAATCAATCAATCAATCAATCAATGAATCAATCAATGAATCAATCAATGAATGAATCAATCAACGAATCAATCAATGAATCAATGAATCAATGAATGAATGAATGAATGAATGAATCAATCAATCAATCAATGAATCAATCAATGAATCAATCAATGAATCAATCAATCAACCAATCAATCAATGAATCAATGAATCAATGAATGAATGAATGAATCAATCAATCAATTTGTCTCAAGAATCCATATTTGGAGATAAAACAATGAGTAAGTTCGGTTACCTGAAAACAAATGTAAGCTGCAGCTGCAATTTTGGACAAGGAACCATAATCTTCTATGTAAACAAGACCCTTTGGTGTCCTCTTCTGTGAATCTACCAAAGTGCCGCAGTAACTTATCACTCTGTCTTTATAAAGTGGTTTACCCAGCATCCTAGCCAGTAGGACCTGCAAAAAAATTAAAATTCAGTTCAATGATTCCTGCAGGAAACTGATGATGTTTTCTGTTGTCATTTATAGTAAGTTTCAAACAGGACATTGGATGGGTGCTGGATCTACCAAGATTGAACTCCAAGGCTTTGATGTTACATCTTCTGGCACTATACACATTTGCACTGTGGTCTTAAGACACTGAAACACCCAAATATATCAGCCACTCTCCTCTGTTCATTTCTGTCTGAGGTGAGTTAATTTACATGATTCACTATGATAAATTATTCTTTTACCATGATTCATTCATGAATTACCCATTTCTACTGACCTCTATTCCTGAGATCTTCTTATCCCAGGTGAAACCTGTAGTCCAGTACAGGAGATCAAATTCCTTATATAGCTGTTCAGCAATTTTCAGATAGGACTCATTGCCAGTTGCTCTGTACAGCCATGTGGCCCCCCAAACCAGCTCATCGTAATAACTATAGGTCCTGACATTGTTTAAGAAAACGGCTTGTTACTGTAAAATATCTCAATTAATACAGCTGTAGCATATGTTATAACATAAGAAATCTCTGCATAATAATTCATGAGTGTCTACTTGTTTGTCTGTCATGAATTTGCAAGTAACTTGCAGATAAAATTAAATAATGAATGATATTAGAATAGTAAACCAAAGCTGCTTTGTGCTTATATCTGAAGTTAGTTCAATGTGAGATTCAGAACAAAGCCTAGCAGCCTAATCTTTGATAGTACAGAAGAAGAAGTAAAATCAATTTACAGTCATTTGTTGCATGCAATTGCCCATGAATAAATTAATAAATAGGTAGGATTTGAGGTTCTCATGGAGGTGACTATGAAAGAAATCATATGCCACTACAACACAGAAGGCAATACTCCTCGTATTAAATAGGAAATTTTTCCAGGTAGCAACAGATAACGCAAAGCATAAATCTGATACATATTTGTTCTGGCTGAACTGCTCACAACATAAATTCACCTTAAATCTTATTTCCTCTGAGGTTAGACTGTTTTTACATAAGACTGAATTATTTTCTTAAATGATTCTTGTAATGATTTATAAAGGATTAACAACGTAATGTTGTCCCTCTACTTAACTGATTAAGCACTATGCCATGGAGATACATGTATATGGGGAATGGAGGTATAGCTCCACCATTCTTGACCTTGGCACTAGATGGTGGTCAGTGGTCAGTTTGATGATCCCCCCCCCTCAGAAATCGCTTCCAGTATCCAGTGGATAGCAGGCTGGGTGGGCCCCAGAGCTGGTCTGGACGTTGTGGAGAAGAGACAAATCCAAAGCCTGTCACTACACCAAGATATCCTGACTCCCAATTCACAAAGGGTTAAGTACTCAAGACATTATTGTGATTTCAAATAAAGTTAACTGGGCCTCTCTAACACTTACTCATAGGAACCCTTCGCACCAGTGATGGACTCAGTGTATTTTCCACGATATTTGTTGGCGAAGTCAAAAAGCTGCTTGGCATGCGTAAGCAAGATGTCAGCATAAGAGGAGTCATTTCTCTGGAACACAATTGAAGCTGCAGCGAGGGCAGCAGCAGTCTCAGAAGCCAGGTCTGACCCTTGAAGAGTACAGAGGATCACTTATAATTCATTAACAATTATATTTGTGTGTTAGACCCTGTAACTGCACAGTCAGTGCTATAAAATAATTAGATAATTCAGTATCTGGGGTCACAGCTCCTATTAAATTCTAACTGAAGGTTATGAAACTGAAGATGCTAAGTAGATTTAACACAGGCTGCCCTGTTTCCCCTGGATAAGTGATGCTTAGATGTCTGAAAGAATCGTTATGATGCAAGCTTACCTGGGTGTGATGTGTCAATCTTGTACGCCGGTCTGTGCATTGGTATGTCCTCAGGACGACACCAGATTGAGTGATCCACCTCTCCTACTTGACCATAGAATTCATTCGGGCTCACATGAGCCTTAATGAAGTAGTCTGTGGCCCATCTAACAGCTTTACGAGCATCGTCCAGAGCATCTGGAGGAAACAGTAAAGTACTGGTCATAATATATGATCCTAAGGCTTGTGGAGCAACTCGATTTTCCTGCTAATGTCATTTGCTTTGTCTTCAGCCATTCCTTTATTGACTTCATTTCTTCAACTTACAGAACATCCAGAATTATTGAAAGGCAACATTTTATGAGCTGTTCCTTTCAATGGGATCACCTATATCAAGCCAAGTTTATGAGTGAACAGGACAAGCGGTGCAATGTCCTTGACTGGAGATTAGAGTTGATTCATAATGACTAATAACTTGTGATGAAATTTATGAGAATGTTTGAGTCTCCATTTTGAGTCTCAAAGGAACATCAATTAAAGATTTGTTTTCATTATGTTAACTTAAAGCATGATGGTGTGTTATAAGTAAGTGAGGGCCAGGTATCTCCTTGTAATGTCATTGAGAGCAGTTCGTTATCAAAATGCTCAGTAAATGTGTTGACTCTTCAGAGGTCCAAAGCTCATCACCTGTGCCATTAAGTGGAACCACTCCTTCCAATCTAAACCATTTTCTTCCAGACTGAATGATTCGGTTATGTGTATTTTCACACTACTAATATTAATACTTGTTTGTAAAATGTTTAGTACAATGAATCATAGGATGAACACATTTACCCTCATTGCTATGTACATACTTGCTGCTATGTATCCTCCTTCATGGTCCACAAGCCCCCAAGCCAGGATGGTAGATGTGAAGGCCATAGGGAAGCCAAATTTCACATAGTCACCAGCTGCAAAATCATTGAAGTTGTATTATGTCCTCATAAAAATACTTTTCTACTAATATGTCTATTAGAGTCTACCTTCTGAAATGAATCTATGGTTACACTAAATAATTTTGAACCGTTTGAAAACGGTTCATGAACATCCAAATCGAAATTCTCTAGATTGACAAGATATAAGTCAACTTGCAGATATAACCACTTACAGTCATAGTAGCCTCCTGTCAAATCTTCGCCATTTTGTCCCTTGTCATTAAGGGCTGAATCTTTTCTCCACTTGACTTTCTGATCGGGAGGTAATTTCCCTGACCTTTGAGCCTCATAGAACAGTAGTGAATCACGAAGTGCTTGTGCATAGTCATAAGCTGAAACATAAATTACGATAGAATTTTGCGCAGTTTTCAGTTTGTATGATCTAGTATTTCAGTTCAATGGCTGCTTTGCTTAGGGGCAGAGCCATCCCTAGAGTAAGGAAAATAAGGCGGCCGCCCAGGACCCCGCGCATCGATATTACAAAATATCAAATTTCTTGTGAACTGGCCTAGTTTTTAAAGAAGCTAAATTGTACTTCAGTTTTTGAATTTCAGTCCCAATGCCAATCTGTGTTCTTTTCGTGGTTTATTTTACGAGGCTGTCTGTATATCAGACTACATCGCATCAAATGATAGGACGACTGATAAATGATGGATGATGATTGTCCACCACAAATCCCACATGACCTGACCCGGTCTCGAACCCGGGCCGCCGCGGCAAGCCGACGACTAACCGCCTGAGCTACGGCACAACCTACATTGGACTCCCTCTAGTTCGGGAATTTGTTTGGAATGAACGCATAAACACAGCGAAATGGGCATTCGCACTGCTGCCTGCTTCATGATCTCTTACTTGGCTTATTCCTCGACTCTGAAGATACAGGCAATATGTTCCTCCGAAAAGTCGGTGTAATTTCGGCGGAATCTATAGCGTCATATTCCACAAAATATGACTCTTAATTTCTCCGTTTCTAAACTGCATAATTACCTCGAGTTTATAGTCACAAATGAGCACGAATGACGAACATCGACATACGTACAACTCGTACAACAGAGCTGTGTGTGGTATCGGTTGATCAGAATGCCTATGAAACTACGAGATATACGTTTGCCATGAAACGAGATGAGCAAACTTAGGTGAAATAGTGAATATTTAGCTTAAGGTTTGATAGCAGCAAATGGAATTAGTTTTTCTTGTCTATTTCTCTCATAAATTGGAGTTTACAAGTAGTTCTTTCTGAATTAGCACTCGAGATTCTCACTGTCCCAGTGCAACTTCGTCGATGTATTAAAATTCACACTTCAAATCATTAGTCTCTTTTTATTATTTGAACACTATATGTTTCGGTCCAGCTGGTCACCATTAGGTGTATAACTTGTACAGGGAACTGCTACCACCTTGTCACACGGCTGTATCTTGCATTTTAAAATTATTTTTAAAATATCATGCCATGATTATTTTGTTGTATGCATGTGTTGTTGGTCTGGTGTATCTGAAATATATAATGGGTTATATTACTGTTTGCTTTTTTTTTGTTTCTTTTTTCCTTGACACTACAGCCCCAGTGGGCCTAGGCCTACCTCCATGAACTTCTCCGTTCACTTCGGTTTTTCTAGATCTTACACGTTCGGTAGGACTCCTTGGGCGGGTGATCAGCTCGTCGCAAGGCCTCTACCTATACACAAACAGAGAAAAACGCACACACACAAACTAAACATCCATGCCCTGAGTGGGATTCGAACCCACGATCCCGGTTTCCAAGCGAGCGAAGACAGTACATGCCTTTGACCGCTCGGCTACCGTGACTGGCACTGTTTGGTTTATAAAGTGAATATTTTGTGTTATATACTGTTGCTCTATCACTGTAGTTGTAATGTTACTTAAATTTTATTGGTGTGTTGGTTTTTTTTTGGTGCTGTGTGTAACTGTTATAAATCTTTCATGTGGTTGATTCTGTTTTTATATAGGAGGTAGGTTGCTGTTGTGTTCCTTCTTTGCAACGTTCTGATTACTGGGTCATGCGTAATGTGGCATGTAGGCCCATTGCTAGAGAACGCGTCGACAAACACTTTTCCATGGATTCTTGGAAACCAACCCGTTAATGGGGTGACGTGTCCATATATACGGGTGATCAACCGGCGTTTCCGTGGATACGGATATGCTATACAGAGTGTAAATAAAAATATGTGCAATATGATCATATTTTGTTAATACAGCCTTGTCCGGAATCGCTTTGTTTACGCGCTAGGGCCTCTGAAATGTGGGAGAGGACGCCCTTACCTCTTACCTCTGTGGCTTACTGGTGACATTTCCCTAACATTTCTCCAAGAGACCTTACCCGAGCTGCTGGAATTTGTGCCTTTGGAAGTCCGTCGTAAAATGTGGTTCCAGCCTGATGGCGCCCCTTCACACTGCATTAATATCGTCCATTAGTATTTGGATGAAACTTTTGGCAACAGATGGATTGCACATGGAGGGCCAATAACCTGGCCCCCTCGCTCCTGATTTGACTCCACTGGATTTCTTTCTCTAGGGGCAGATGCAAAACCTGGTGTACGAGACTCCAGTGGAGACACAACATGATCTTGTGCCAAGAATTGCAGTATCAGCTGGAACCGTCTGGGAAATGTCGGGAATCTTTCAAAGAGTTCCGCATAACATGGCCAAGCGGTGCAGAAGAGGTAATAAAGTAAGCGGCCAACATCTTACGCAACTTTTATAATGTAAAGCAACGATAACATCCCTTAAAAGTTATGCATCATATCGAAAAATTTGTGGCCTTTTGGGCCAAAAGGAAGCGTTTCCGGATGTCGGCATATTAACAAAATATGATCACACTGAACCCATCTATCTACCATAGAGCGTTGTAACATATATTTATTTACACACTGCATAACAGGGATTAGAATTGAGTCAGAGTTTAGATCCTGTGCGGAGTACGGGTCGATTACCTACACCGTAGCCCTGCTAGTCGTAGGAGGCGGCGAAAAGGGAAGTCTCGAATCTGAGACAGTAAAATATGATCACGAGTCCCATGGGACTAGAACCCAAGAATTGCGCTAACGAGAGCCAGCAGCAATTGTAAACGACAGACCCGTCCTCTCGTCAGAGAGAGCGCCCCACATTAACAAACACGTAACTGTCTGGCAGTAGTAAAAATCTGATTGTAAACCCCAGATAGGTGCTTTATTCCGAGACAGACTGACCGACTGACCTTCGGTCGCGACATAAGACTCAGACTCACGCTCAGTCAGAGTTCAGATCAGATGAGAACGGAGATAACACTAGATCAGAAGCGAGAGAGAAAGAGAGTTCAGATCAAAATAGAGAGAGATCAAGTCATATCAAAATTCAGTGAGTCCTAGGCAGTCTCAGAAGAATATTTCGGTTGAAGATTTATTGCAAGTTATTGTAATTTATTGTGATTACGAGCGATTGTACAAGGAGTGATCAATAAATCCCAATTACCAACCAAACCCCATCTTATGAGCCACACCCATACATGTGGCAGTATCACTGTCTGTGTCATTCATGTGTGAGTTACGTATTTTTATTGATTTTGTATGTGTGGCATTTTTCTGATGTGTTTAAGAGTTTTCCATTTTCTGTGTTCTTATAATGTCTCTTATGGTATGGGTTTATACTTGTAACAAGTTTATTTATCTGCAGTTTTTGGTTAAGTGAAAACTGTATAATTCGCTCAACTACGACTGGAGAATCTCAAAGCTACGAATTTAGGCACGAAGCCTGAAGGCCTACACGCCGCAAACTTAAGACTTAACCTGTAGAAGTCAGGCAGTGAGTCGTGACCTAGGAATATACGATCAGTCTGGCACGAGTTTTTACTTCTAGATAAAAACTGAGACGTGCAGAGAAGATTTTACTTTTTGGAAACGAAAAAAAAAGTAGATAGCAGCGTTCTTCTAAGAGTTCGTGGTGAGACGGGGGATGTCAAAGTCAAGGTCAAAACTTTATTCCAACTGTTATTGAGACTTGAAAGCTCTGCTTATTCAGGCAACGCTGTGAATTCCGTCGAAAACAATGTCACGAGTTCATCTGTGTTCACCTTCTCCGAGCAGATTAAAGGAGCATCAAGTCATACAAACAAGAACATGGGAGACAGAGAGATATGCAAGACAAATATATAGAGAGACAAAATTAAAAGACGATATTGTTTATACTCTTCGACCTACAAAAATATGCGTAGTAAAATAAGATACCACAGTGACAGATAACGAAATAACATTATTAGTATCTTCAGGATGGCAAAAATACCCAGAAGATACTAATTATGCTAGACCCAGAAATGATAGTTTCATGGTATTGTGCTGACAATTGCAGCTAACCTGCAGAGAACTTTCTCTGTCTCTTCATTATGATTAAGGGTTTAAAACACCTTTCCTACATATATTCGTACTCGTCTCCTGTGGCACTCGTCACTTAATGTGATTGAGCTGGAGAGTTCTGTGACCAGCCCTCTTTGTAAACTTATCTGACTCTCTGCTATTCAGTTGAATACCTCGGCAAACTGTAAGCGCAGACAGGAGGTAAACGAATCCCCTCATTCTGGTGCCGCTGCTCACTAAATTCGAACTGGTTCAGAATTTTGCCTTTCGCTTCAGATTTATGTAACATCATGGGTAACAACTACGTAATGTCACCTTAGGTGTCAACATTTTTTCAGAGGTCTAATTAGGATCTTCCGTCTATTTGAAATATCGAATGAATAAAAGCATATGATGTCATTTTTGTTGACAATGCACATGATGTTCTGTGATGCATACTGGATTTCATAATTATACATTACATGTCACATAGCTGTGACCTTGCGCTGTCATTGCAACTTATGGTTACTTGCCGAATTCCGTACAGTCGAATTTTACCGAACATAATAGCCACGCACGCAATTCCTGCGATTCAAATACTTTAACCATATCCATGAAATACCCCCATATTTCAAGGTGGATCGCAATCAATCAATCTACTGATAAAAATCATTACCAATACTCTTATAAGAAATATAACTATCGTGAAATTTAGGTTTTTAGGGATTGGCCTCATCGTATGTCGAAACTTCCAGCGTTTCAGCGTACACTGCAGTCAACATCTTCAGGGAAAATGTAAATCGGTTGGGAGAACTGGACCAATTCATAGGTCTCGCAGTAGGAGTTACGGGTTGTGGGTGTGCTGCTGTGTAATTCGAAGGGCCTATCATATGGTTAAGAAGAAAATTCGTAGACGAGGGGGTTAATTAAAACTTTGACCTGTTTGTATCTATCTTCAAGGATGAAGTTGTGGCCGTGGTCGGTTATATCAGTGTCATCCCTTGATTGATGATTGATCAGTAACTGTCAGATGACAGGTCCACAGTCTCTTCCAAAACAGTTCCTCCACTTAATGTGATCTTCTGTTTTTGGAAAGAGACTGTCCANCAACATCTTCAGGGAAAATGTAAATCGGTTGGGAGAACTGGACCAATTCATAGGTCTCGCAGTAGGAGTTACGGGTTGTGGGTGTGCTGCTGTGTAATTCGAAGGGCCTATCATATGGTTAAGAAGAAAATTCGTAGACGAGGGGGTTAATTAAAACTTTGACCTGTTTGTATCTATCTTCAAGGATGAAGTTGTGGCCGTGGTCGGTTATATCAGTGTCATCCCTTATAGTACAAGAATTGACAGTGTGGATGTTTTAAAAATATGGGCTAAATTTTATTAAAGTTGAGGTTGTGTTTGGTCTTGATGGCGTGTTCGATTCCCGCTGATCATTAGTGTTCTCTGTGCCTCTGATATCACACGGGATTTTAGTGGACATGTGACAGCCGGATTGACAGATGTACACTTTGCCACAGGAATGGGAGGTTTTGAACCTCCCTTCTTCTTCCTCCATTCGTGCGCACTTGCTGGCGCCAGGCCCTGCTAGCTTAATGATTCAGTTTTCTGATATCTCCTGTTGTTCTTCATGTGAGATGTGGGAACTGCAATTCCGTCTAGGAACAGAATACTTTATACCTTATTGTTTGTGGATGACCAAATAATATTTACAAGGGATAAAATGAGATACACGATGAAGAAATTAATAGAGGAATATAACAACTAAGTTTAGGATAAGGCCGCGCCATAGCTCAAGCGGTTAGTCGCTGGCTTCCCACCATGGCGGCCCGGGTTCGATCCTGGTTCTGGTCAAGTGGGATTTGTGGTGGACTTCGGTTTCCCCTGCAAATCTTCATTCCACCAATTGCTCCACAATCACCCTCACCTATCATCTGGGGCTAGGGCTGGTACAATAAGCCAGAAGTGGCCGCAGTACATGAAACTTAGTCCAACCCCACTAGCAAAAAAAGACAACAAAGTTTAGGATAACAGAGATCTACAGAAACAATGAGGATTCATTATAATACTAACTGGATGCTTTACATACTCTTTTTCACTTCCGATACGCCAATACTGCTCCATCTACTAACTGAATTTTTTTATTGCTAGTGGGGTGGGACTAAGTCCTTTGTACTGCGGCCATTTCTGGCCTAGTGTACCAGCCCGATGATAGATGAGAGTGATTGTGGAGCAATTAGTGGAATGAAGATTGACAGGGAAAACCGAAGTACTCGGAGAAAACCTGCCCCAACGTCACTTTGTCCACCACAAATCCTACATGACCTGTCCCGGGATCGAACCCGGGCTGCCGCGGTTGGAAGCCAGCGACTATCCGCTTGAGCTATGGCGCGGCCGTTAACCGAATTACCTGCCATAATATCTGTGTACTGGTTGACTTTGGGTTAAGTCCTGCCATATAAAGTGAGCATAAGGTTGGTCTCAGAACATTACCCTGTGGTAAGCCTTTGCATGCCCAGTCCTTTAGATCAAGGGTCTCCAAACTACGGCCCGCGGATCACATCCGGTCCGCAATGTGGTTTTATCCGGCCCGCGAATAATTGTGCAGAAATGTGCCAATCGAACTAATTTTCCAATGAGTACTGGTAAAAAAAATACTTGTTCATAGATTTCAAATTAATTAATTAAGATTGTGTTTGAAACATATTGATATTCCATATTATGTCCATGATTTATTTTATCCGTCTTCTAGTGCATACATTCATCTATCCCCTCTTCTCACTCCAACAGAAGATGATAGACGTGACTCGCGTAATGAAACACGACGTAGGAATGAAATATCCTGTACAATTTTAATATTTTAACACTTAACATTTATCAGTATATATGATAAATATATATTTTAGTTATTTTAGTATGTATAGAGAAGGCATGCAATGAACTAGTTTGTCGTGGATTGGATCAGCACCTGAAGATGGCACTTTTGTGCCGAAACATGTAGTGCGAGTGAGAAGAGGGGATAGATGAATGTATGCACTAGAAGACGGATAAAATAAATCATGGACTTAAATCAGTGCAACAGGACGCTGAAATATAACATTCCATATTATGTTAATATTATTCACAATTTTACTAATTCTGGACCGTATACTGCGCGGTATTTCTTCGTACTTGTACGGCCTCGATCGGCAGTGTCACTTCGTGGCAATGTAGGTAGCGCGAGCAGTTCGTTACTAGCCGTCTTGTGCACAAGACTTCTTGCAGTGGTGCAGTGTAATTGTAACAGTTCATCACCACCGCCGGTGTCGTACTTAGTACCATTTTTGTAATAAAAGCAGCTTATGCCCAGTTTTGCTCTAACTGTTCCGAGAATTGGTAGCGAGCAATGTTGATAAGGCTACCGGAACTTTTGTCCATTCTACGACGGCCGGCGTGGTACGGCTATCGGTTACCCTCCCAGCCGACAAAGGATGTTTCTAGAACATTCTCAATGTGTAGGGGTACAGAAGTCCAGTCCGCAACAGTTCAGTTCAGTCCGCAGCCGGTCTGTACATAGTGTACGAAGAGTAGTGTGTGTAGTGTGTGTAATAAAGTAAGTGATTATTAAAAGTCAGCGGTTACAGTTACATAATATTCAATGTGTAATTGAATAAATTTATTTATTTAAACATTTTAAATTAACAAGAGTGTACATAGTAAAATTACTAGAATATTTGTTATTTTTATTTAGTATTCGTTTTATTATAATTTTTTTGTATTATTATGCTCTTTTCAAGTTTTAACATGGATGGAAAAGGAAAAGAAAAATTGACGATGAATGTCGTGCGTTTAATGAAGAATGGGGCGTAAAATATTTCTTCATACAATCGAATTCAAAGGCTAACGCTGTATGTCTGATATGTAAAGATACTGTTGCTGTGTTGAAAGAATACAATATACGTCGTCACTATGACACGAAGCATGCTTCAACTTTTTCCCAATTTAAAGAAAAGCAGCGTTCAGATAAATTGGAATCATTACGTCGTTGTCTGCGTTCTCAGCAAGACTTATTTACGAAAGCAACATAAGAAAATTAAGCCTTAACCTTGTTAAGCTATAACGTTGCTTATGTGTTGGCTAAAAATGGGAAACCATTCACTAATGGCAATATCATCAAAGAGTGTATGATGGAAGCAGCGACTCAGTTGTGCCCCGAAAAACTTAATCTTTTTTTTTAAACGATAAGTCTTGCGCCAAATACTGTTGCTCGTCGGATTGAAAATATGGGAAATAATATTGTCCAGCAAACTGTAAGCAAAGCACAGTGTTTCAGTCGGTATTCTCTCGCGCTGGATGAATCAACTGATGTTTGTAATACCTCTCAACTATTAGTATTTTTTTTTGGCTTCGGCGATGAACTTAATGTCACACAGGAATTAGCTTCACTTCACAGCATGCATGGTACTACAACAGATGATGATATCTTCAAAGAAAAAAAAAACACTAACAGAATATAATTTGGACTGGAACCGTCTGCAGTGCGTGACAGTTGATGGAGGAAAAAACATGTCTGGTATTAAAATAGGTTTGGTTGGCCAAATCACAGAAGCTAGTGAGGATACAGGAATATCAAAGCCAATGTTTCTTCACTGTGTTATCCACCAACAAGCACTTTGTGGAAAACACGTTGATATGAACTCTGTTTTAAAACCTGTTATTTCTATCGTTAATTTCATTCGCTGTCATGCACTTAACCACCGCCAGTTTCGGTCTTTTCTCGAGGAATGTGATTCCGAGCTTACTGACCTGACATATTATACTGCAGTTCGGTTGCTTAGCTGTGGAAAGGTTCTTTCGCGCTTCTTTCAGCTCAGGAATGAAATTGAAATATTTATTACCGAAGAAAACCACCACGAACCACTTTTGTCAGATACCGAGTGGCTTTGGAAATTAGCATTTTTTGTTGATTCGGTGAACCATATGAACAATTTGAATTTAAAGTTGCAGGGTGATAATACGTTAACTTAGTCTGTGATTTATTTTTACTTCTCAAGGCATTCAGAGCAAAGTTGATACTTCTGGAAAGCCAAGTGAAAAATTGTAACGTTGTGCATATGCTATACTGTGCATTGTTGCATAAAAGGGGTGAAGCTGAATTTTCTTCCTTGTTTGCAAATTTAGTCATTTCAGATTTGAAAGAACAATTTTGGAAGAGATTTGCTGATTTGGATGCCAGTGCTCAGGAAATTAGATTGTTTCAAAATCCGTTTGACTATGATGCTGCAGATGTC